CAGATCATGGATGAAGATGTTAAACAGGACCGGCCCCAGTACAGAGCCCTGGGGACACCACTGGTGACTGGTCACCAGCTGGGTTTAACTCCATTCACCACCAGACTCGGAAGCCAAAATGGGGTTACTTTGGTAAAAAGCAAAACCACAACATTTGCTGTTTGATAAAACTGGTGCTGAACGGCACGTGCCGGTCCCCACATCGGAGACACAGCGTTCGATCGGGGCCAGGGTGTGAGCTGGATGGTGGCCACACATTGAAACATAGACCCAGCTTCAAATATCCTGAATTTTTTAAGTGTTCCCCCCCGTTTTTGGGTGCTGGTCAGGCACAGGAGAAAGTGGTGGGAGGAGAGGGAAGGTGTCACCAAACGGCGCTGGTGGAAATGCAGAGAGAGATGGTGAAGGTACCTCGTATCCAAACGTCAGAGCCATGATGGTGATGAGGAACCCAAAGAATGCTTCCAGTTTCCGCAAGCCTGGGAGAAGAAAAAGGACCATCAGTAAACTGAGAAGAGCTGAATCTCAGATTTAGTTTCTAGATTTGAGGAAGAGAAATTACCATATTTATCCAAGAAAAGAAACACGAACGTGTCGGCAATGGTGATGAGCACTCCGCCCCACAGCGGGATCCTGCGAGAGACGGGCAGGAGAAGACATCAGCTCACAGAACATCTCATCCACCAGCCCCAACAACACTTCAGGGTCCAAAAATCTCTTTTTCTTTAGGGTTGTTTGGGGATGGAACTGCATTGTTTGCAGTCTGACCAGAGGTTTGGCTGCCCATAGGTTTGTTTTCTGCACAAAGAGCTCAGATGAAGAGCTCTGTCCCCATATCTCAAGAGCAAATCTCACGTCCATACTGAGAATGACAGGAGTGAGCGAGGATTTTCATAGCTACTCAGTACAAAATTGTAACTTCCTGTGGTATTTGCTACATTTCCAACCTTCCTGGCTGAAGAAGTTATCTTTCTGGGAATATTTTCTCAGGAATTCTTGTAGGGGCTACAAGAAAGCTGGGGAAGGACTTTTCATAAGGGCAGTTAATGACAGAACAAGGGGAAATGGGTTTAAGCTGAAAGAGGGGAGGTTTAGATGAGATATTAGGAAGAAGTTCTTCACTGTGAGGGTGGTGAGCCAGTGTCCCAGGTTGGCCAGAGAAGCTGTGGCTGCTCCTCCCTGGAAGTGTTCTCGGCCAGGCTGGATGAGGCTTTGAGCAACCTGGTCTAGTGGAAGGTGTCCCTGCTGCTGGCAGGGGGGTTGGGACTGGATGAGCTTTAAGGTCCCTTCCAACCCAAACCATTCTATGATTCTATGAATATCAAATTTACCAGGAAATCTGCAGCCTGAGGTGTGGATCAGTTACAACTAAAATAAAATCCAGAACTCACAGTTCTCCTTATAACAAAAATAAAAAGAAACAGACACCGAAGTCTGAGTCATCCGAGAGTCAGCGCAGCTCGGATGAATCACCCTCCACAAAAAAAGCTTATTTCAGAAGATTTAGAGGAAATAAATGATTCTTTTTTTGGTGTACACAGTGTCACTTTCTGAATCTTAAGAGGGGGAAACACTCATTTCCTGCTGCCCTCTGACGACAAACCCCACTTACTTCCCCACAGACAGGAGGTTGATAGCGATCGCCGAGCCAATGACTTCTTGCATATCGGATCCGATGATGGCGAGTTCGACCATCAGCCACAGGATAATCCGAGGGACCTGGAGGGAAAGAAATAACCAATATCATTAAAAAGAAGGAAAATACCTTCTCCCTTTAATTTCCCAGGTGAGCACAGGGTGGTGGTGATGGTGCATTCAGGAATTGTCTCTTTTCCTTGGTCGTGACACGGAAAACACGCTGATGATTGTCACTTCACGGCTGGTCCAGAGCAGAAATCCAGGTCACCTGTGGCAATCACCAGAGGAGGTTCCTGGGTCACTTATATCATGTAAATTATTCACCTCGATACACTTCGAGAGGGAAATTGGATATTTCTGTTTATTGAAGTGCTGGAAATGAGCATCAGAGGATATTTCACGTAGTCAGAGCAATGACAAAGCCTCAAGTGTTGGATGAGAAACATCAAAGTGTGCAGAGTTGGGGACATCACCGAGTTCCTTCCCAAAGCATCATCATCTTCAGCCTCACTCATCCTCAGCCCCACTCATCCTCAGCTGAACGAGACGCCGAGCCCGTTCTTACCCAAGCTGTGAGGATTTCTTAAGCAGGGAAATTCAACAGCCACGGAATGGTCTTGTTCTAAGGGTCATTTCTCTCCTCCTGATTCCTTGAGCTTATTTAAGCGATGAGTATTTCCACTTTGGGAGGAGAAAAGCTGAAATCTTGGGGTTTTATTCCTGATTCTGTCTGGAATTCACTGGGAAATGCCAGGACATTCCTCTCACCTGCCTCCTGCTGCTTTCCTTTTTCCAAGATGAGGATGTGTCCTGGTTTTCCTGGTTAATTTTCCTCTCAGCAGCCAGAACAGCTGAGTTTTAGGTTCAGTGTGGGATTTGGTATGAGAAGTATATTGATCAGGTACTGATGTTTTTAGTTGCTGCTGGAGGTCCAAGGTCGTCGTGTTTTGCTGGTTTGCAAACACAAAGGACTGGGAGGGGGAAGCGCAGTAATTAGCAAAACTCCAAATTGGCATTTGGATATGCTAATGAGATATTCCATCTCCTATCCCGTCATGGCCAGTAGATTAACCAGGGCTGACTGGAAAGCTCTGGGGGATTCTCTTGGGGATCACTCAGGCTCTTGCTTTCCCAGGGTTTGGGGACTGTCTCGGCTCTGGGATCGCTGGCTGGGACAGGCTGGGCACCGGTCGGCGGGTGCTGAGCAATTGCACTGGGCATCACTCATTTGCATATCATATTATTACTATGATCGTCATTAATATTTTATTTCAATTAGTAAATTGTTTTTATCTCAACCCACGAGTTTTTCTTACTTTTACCTTTCCAATTCTCTCCCCTCCTCCCTGGGTGGAGGTGGGCGGAGAGGGAGAGAGCGCCTGTGTTTGGCTGCAGCCAAAGAAGTGAAACCACAACAGGAAGAGACCAACGGGACCTAAAGTGTCCCAGATCTGCTCTCCTATCACCCCTGGTCCTTAACGAGCTTTAATGAGCTCATTAAAATGAGAGGTACAATTAAAACCTTCCTCTAAATCTGCTTTTTTTTTTCTAACTATGAGCCAAACCAGAAGAAATCAACTTAATTCTCCAGTTTCTCAGACAATAAAGCAAGAAGTGACGATGAAAATAGATTTTACCACCTGTGATGGTTTCTCCTGAGGAGAATTTGGCACTTAATGGGCAACAGCGACACTTCATGAGACCAGCCAGCCCCGGGTGAGAGAACCACACTGGGTATCACTGGGGAGCAGGAGGTCACCCACCTTCTGGTACTGCCGGTTGCAGACTTCAGCGAGGTGCAGCCCTGTCACCACCCCCAGCCTGGCTGCCAGGCGCTGCAGGAGCAGCCCGATGATCGTCGCCAGCATCAGGACCCAGAGCAGCTGTGGGAGACAAGAAGACAGGAGTGGGTGAGCTGGGGTGGCAAGAAATGACAGCTGAGAATGAGATCCCAGGTCCCTTGGGATGTCTGCGCCCCGCACACACCTTTAGGAATCACAGGTCTTTGAAAATACACATAATTGACATTCAGATGTTGTTTTATAGAATTATTTAGGTTGGAAAAGACCCTTAAGATCATCAGATCCAACCATCAACCTCAGATGGCCGCGTCCACCACTAAACCATGTCCCTGAGTGCCACATCTACGTGGTTTTTAAATCCCTCCAGGGATGGGGACTCCACCACTGCCCTGGGCAACCTAGAAAAATAGGAGAACCAGGAGTACGTGGCTTTAAACAAGGATTTGGCAACTCATAAAGTTGGTGGAAGAATGAGAATCAGTGAGAATCAGAGAATCGTTTGGGTTGGAAAAGACCTTTAAGATCATCAAGTCAAATCATTAACCTCACATGGCTGAGTCCACCACTAAACCATGTCCACAAGGATCATATCTACATGTTTTATCAACACCTCCAGGGATGGGGACTCCACCACTGCCCTGGGCAACCCCTTCCAATGCCTCAGAACTGTTCAGTGAAGATATTTTTTCCCAATTATGTGCCTGGAGCTGGCACAAGAAGGATCCACATCGTATAAAACCAGGAGTCACTCCTGGAGAGGGCATATGAAAGCGCCTCACTCTCCCTTTCTCCTTCTCTGGAGTGTTTTTAGCTCAGCAGCAACATCACCATCAGATCTTCTGCCCTAAAACGTGGATGGGTACATGGTTTGTATAATTTACAGTGTTTAATCTGGAAGTTTGGGGGTTTTTTGTACCTTAAACCCTGCGACAGCCCCGGACTGTAAATCCGACTCGATGTTGCCCGGATCCAGGTAGGCAATGCTCATCAGAAAACCTGGCCCCGTGAAAGCCCAGAGTTTGCGGAAACTGCTGTGGAAGGGGAGAGAGGATGGAGACAGCAGATGTCAGCCTGGAGGTGTCGTCCCCATGAACCACCCCAGCAATGGGACATCGAAAATGACAAGAGACAACCACAGGGGTTGATTTTCATTTGAGCTCAGCCTCTTCTTTAATCCCATTTTAAACTCTCCAGCAATCCCTGGTCCTAATCTTAAAGAGTTTAGGAGCAGAGTCTGGGAGAGTCAAGGACACAGGTGGGTAAACTTGGGTGGGGGATGAATCCTCCTGTGCCTGCAGCCACTTGGTTGCTTCATCAAAAGCAAAGAGGGCACCTACACCCCCCTGGAAAGGGGATGAAGAAGCACTTTTGCTCCATTTCCTCGATAAGGGAACAAAGAACCAAAGTTCCCTCCCCCTGGGGCTACAAACAAGACTTTTCTCTGCTTTTTAGCAGATCTGGCTGCTTGGGAGTTTGGCAGGAGATAAATCCTGAGTGATGAATCACAAACTCCACAGCAGGGACAGGAGATCCCTCAACCTCTTCTCCCCCCTCCCAGATCTTCATCCAGCAGCCCAGCTTCCCTTCCCAATCTAGGCAAGAAGGGGAACTGGCACCCAAGGGAATGACTCATGTGGGTACCAAGAAGATTTTCCAAGGGGATTTTCCTGTTGGAGGGAAGGGAGGAGGACCCACCGTTTCATCTTCAGGAATTGGGATCTTGCTGTCAAAGTAGGTGGTAAAAGGTTCCTCTGAGGAGGAATCTGGTGGCTGTAGCGGGTTCATGCTGCTGGAAATGGTGCTGACCACCTCCCCGTGCTCCCCAGAGACATCTTCTGCAAGGGGAAAAGGAAGGAAAAGTGAGGGAGGGTCCTTGGAAACACGGGAAAACTCAGCAGGGGCCTGGCAAGACCCACAGGCAGAGTGAAAGCACAGAACCCCAGAACTGCCTGGATTGGAAAAGCCCTTGAAGATCATCGAGTCCCATCATGAACCCAACACTGACAAGTCCCCGACTAACCCATGTCCCTCAGCACTGTGTCTACACGACTCTTCAATCCCTCCAGGGATGGGGACTCCACCACTGCCCTGGGCAACCCCTTCCAATGCCTCAGAACCCTTTCAGCAAAGAAATTCTTCCTCACATCCCATCTCAACTGCCCCTGGCACAACTTGAGGCCATTTCCTCTTGTCCTGTCCCTTGTTCCTTGGTTGAACAGACCCACCCCCACCTCTCTCCACCCTCCTCCAAGGGACTTGCACAGAGCCACAAGGTCTCCCCTCAGCCTCCTTTTCTCCAGGCTCAACACCCCCAGTTCCCTCAGCCACAAGGGAACTCAGCACACTTGTGCTCCAGACCCTTCCCCAGCTCCGTTCCCTTCTCTGGACACGCTCCAGCACCTCCCTGTCCTTCTTGGACTCAGGGGCCCAACACTGAACCCAGCACTCCAGCTGCGGCCTCACCAGTTCCCAGTGCAGGGGGAAGAGAACTTCCCTGCTCCTACTGGCCACACTGGTGCTGATCCAGGCCAGGATGCCCTTGGCCTTCTTGGCCACCTGGGCACTCTGCTGGCTCATCTCATTAGGTTATTCAGAGATAATCAAATGAAAATAACATACATGGCTGTGAAGCCACCCGAGGAGACCACGCTGCCCTGCCTGAACTCTCCCTCTCCTCCACGTGAGGAGCCCGGCTGGCTGGTGGTGAATTTATTCCCATTAACTTAACAAAAGCCGTCACGGCGCCGCGGTTCGATGTAACGGCAGCTCCGGGACTGAACCAGCCAGATCGAACACCCGGGGCTGTTTCTGCACCATTCCAGAGAGCGTTACCCCAAACCATCCTGGCTGAACAGACCATCCAGGAGAAATTCAGTCCTGGAAGGATCCGGCTCTGCTGTGGATTCGTGTTCCCAGGCAGGGCAGGCACAAGGTAGCGATTGTTTGGGAGCAAGTGAGAGTCAGGAGACTGCCCGACAGCTTCTCCTTCTCCTCCAGCGGGAGAAGCAGGAGGAAGAGCCAACAGTGAGGAATTTTCAGGACAGTTTCTAAATTTAACTTGATAGGAAGGTGCCCAGGGTGACACCAGCCATGAAAACACCCGTTTTCCACAGAGGATGGGTTCAGACTTGTAAAACCACCCGCTTCCTCCCCTCCCCACCAAAATCTCCTCCCAAACTGAGCCAATACTCACTTTTCCTCTCCCGATGTGGCATTTTGCTCTAAGAGCTGAGGAGCAGCATGTGTCCCCAGCACCCAGCCTGGCTCAGGGGACGACTAAACCCCAGGCCAGTTCTTTTACCAAGGTTCCTATTGCATCATCAGAGTAAACCCAAGGCCATCGCTCCTCCTTTTTTCCCTGCCTCCCAAATACCTCAGCAGCCTCCTGCCCTGCCAACAGACCCGTTTACATAATGGATTTAGAGCCGAGCAGGTGAGAGATCGCTCAGCACCAGACGGGCTCGTTCATCGAGTTAAACGAGGCTGAGTGACCCTGGGACTGTAAATCTCCAGTTGGAGTCATCTCAAAAGCATGAGGTTTTCTGTCCACTATGAAAATCGAGAGTACAGGGCGGTAAACGGGCACAGGGAATCCTCGGGGTGGTTTTTGCTGGACAAAGGAATTAATGAAATGGAAGTTTCTGGGCAGCAGGTGGAGGGAGGGGATTCTGCCCCTCTGCTCCGCTCTCCTGACACCCCACCTGCAGTGCTGCCTCCAGTGCTGGGGCCACCAACACCACAAGGACATGGAGCTACTGGAGCCAGTCCAGAGGAGGCCACGAGGATGATGCGAGGGCTGGAGCAGCTCTGCTGTGAGGACAGGCTGAGAGAGTTGGGGCTGTTCAGCCTGGAGAAGAGAAGGCCCCAGGGAGACCTTCTAGTGGCCTCCCAGTACCTGAAGGGGCTCCAGGAAGGCTGGGGAGGGACTTTGGCCAAGGGCAGGGAGTGAGAGAACAAGGGGTGATGGCTTGAAAGTGGCAGAGGGGAGATGGAGATGAGATGTGAGGAAGAAATTCTTTGGTGTGAGGGTGGTGAGACACTGGCCCAGGTTGGCCAGAGAAGCTGTGGCTGCTCCTCCCTGGAAGTGTTCTCGGCCAGGCTGGATGAGGCTTTGAGCAACCTGGTCTAGTGGAAGGGGAAGCTCAGTGTTCCTGGTCCAATGCCAGCGCAGGATGCTGCAGGCACAAGAATTTAGGTTGAATTTATCCCATGTTGGGCGGTGGATGTATGAGGGTCAATCCCTGTGCTGCACGCTGACTCTTACCGTAGGACGCCTTCCTGTCCGTGTCGAAGTTCCCCATGGTGGAACCCTTCCCGTGGCCTGGAAACTGCTTTAGATTGGCCACGTTGGCTGCAAAGGAGACAAGGAAAAAAAACCAAAACAACGTGTCAAGAAGGAGAATAAAAATCTCCAGGAGAGCAAACGGGACCAGCAGCTCCTGGCAGGGACAGATTTAATTCCTGGACCATTTTTTTGGCTTTGAAGAACCTTGTGGAGCT